CAAACTTGGTGAGTGGTGCTGACATGCAGGATAGGGGGGTTGACTAGTTCACTCCTGCGAGTCAGCGAGTGACCCACTGCACGTGTGCTCGGACGTGCCGACACTTGGCCACGTTTACCCGTCAGCCGGGGTCGAGCCACTACACACTGACTACCGAGTCTCCTCCGGTTAGTGTGTCTGGTCAAGTAGCTGCGTCGGGTCAGGTGTTTGCTGCAGCGTCCAGGTCTGGTCTTGAGTCTGCCCCCTGCTCGTGTCGTCTCCTGTCTCACCAGACTCTCCTCTGGCACCACTGCCTTGGTCACCCCTCCCTGCCTCGTCTTCGAGGCATGGCCTCCCGTGTCCTTGTCTCTGGTCTCCCCCGGTCCCTCCCTCCCCTTCCCCAGGGGCCTGCCCCTACCTGTGTTCCCTGCGTCGAGGGGCGGAAACGCGCCGCTCCTCACTCCTCTGAGTTTCCTCCGACAGAGGCTCCACTGCAGACTCTCCACATGGACGTGTGGGGCCCAGCCCGCGTCCGTGGACAGGGTCACGAGCGTTACTTCCTGCTGGTGGTTGATGACTACTCACGTTACACCATAGTCTTCCCCTTGCGCTGCAAGGGTGAGGTCACTGAGGTGTTGATCGACTGGATCCGCGCTGCCCGTCTCCAGCTTAGAGAGAGGTTCGACTCGGAATTTCCTGTTCTGTGTCTGCACTTCGACAGAGGTGGGGAGTATTCCTCCGACCTTCTGCGAACCTTCTGTCGTGTGGAGGGCGTCCGCTAAACGTTCACGCTTCCGGCCTCTCCGCAGCAAAATGGGATTGCTGAGCGCCGCATTGGCATGGTCATGGACGTCGCTCGTACGTCCATGATCCATGCGGCTGCCCCCCATCTTCTGTGGCCGTTCGCGGTTCAGTACGCGGCGCATCAGACCAACCTTCAGCCCCAGGTCTCCATGCCGGAGACCTCCCCTGCTCTGCGGTGGATGGGAAAGGTTGGCGATGCGTCTGCGTTCCGTGTCTGGGGATCTCGAGCTTTTGTCCGCGACTTGTCTGCGGACAAGCTGTCCTCCCATGCTGTTCCCTACGTCTTCCTTGGCTTCCCCCCTGACGCGCCTGGTTGGCAGTTTTACCACCCCACCTCGCGTCGTGTTCTGTCCTCTCAGGACGTCACGTATTACGAGTCGGTTCCCTACTACCGTCTCTTCCCCTACCGCACTGCTCCCCTGACCCCCCCTCCGCTCTTCCTCGCGCCAGGTCCCCCCCCGGTAGACCCCCTCCCCCCTCAGGGTCCTGCCCCCTCAGGTGTGTCCCAGGTAGACGCAGTCGAGCCTATCGAGGTAGCTGTTGACTCTGGTGCTGCTAAGGGTGCTGAGCCTGCGGGGTACTGGGTCTGGGGGTGCTGAGCCTGAGCGTGCGGAGCCTGGGGGTGCTGGGTCTGGGGGTGCTGAGCCTGAGGGTGCTGAGTCTGGGGGTGCTGAGCCTAGGGTTGCTGAGTCTGGGGGTGCGGAGCCTGAGGGTGCTGGGCCTGCTCGTGTGGAGTCTGGCGGTGCTGGGCCTGGAGGTCCTTCAGGTGCTTCGTCCCGGCAGGAGCTACTCTCTCCGCAGGAGCTGCGCGAGTAGTTTGCTCGGCGCTGGAGCCATGCTGCTGGAGCTGGTGGTGCTTCCGGCGCTGGAGGTTCTGCTGCTGGGGCTGCTGGGGGTTCTGAAGCCACGGGTCCCGGAGGTGCTCGTACTGGAGGTACTGGAGCTGCTGGGCCTGGTGGTGCTACTAGTGCTGGAGCTGCTGGCGGTGCTGGAGATGGCGGTGCTGCTGGAGTAGGTGCTGCTCAAGGTACTGGAGCTGGAGCTACTTTCGTCTTCCGGTGGTCCTTCTGGAGCTGCAGCTGCTAGAGGTGCTGGAGCTGGAGGTGCTGCTGGAGTCAGTGCTCCTGTGGGTGCTGGAGTTGGCGCTACTGGAGCAGCTGGTGGTGCTGCTGGAGCTGTTGGAGCTGCCGCTAGGGGTGCTGGTGCTGTCCCTGCTGGTTCTAGAGGTGCTGCGCGGCCGCAGCCGTACTTCGTTCCACTCCTTGAGCAGGTTCTTGGTCTCCCGCCTTCTACTGGTCCTGCTCCTTCCTTAGAGTATCCACCGCCTGTCCAGTCCGAGTCACAGTTACAGCTGGCCTCCCCACTGCCTGCTCCTTCTCCCTACACTGGTCCTACTGGAGGTCTTGCTGAGCGTCGTGAGCCTGAGTCTCGTCCTGGTCGCCCGTTCGTGCTGCTCGCACTGGTCATCGTGTTCCGCGTCAGCGTCCTCCTGCGGTCCCAGGCACGCACCAGATGGCACTGCGTCCTTCCACTGCTCCACTGCGTGTCCCTTTGCCGTCTCCTCCTGAGTCCTCTCTTCCTGCTCTTGCTGACCTGGAGTCTGACTCCCTTCTTGCTGCTAGTCCTACTGTCACGCGTCTCCTGGCCACTGTTGTCACTGACCCTTCCTTTGAGTCCACTGATGCGTCTGCCTTAGTTGTTGAGCTTGTCGACTTCGCTGCTCACTGTTGTCTACACTACGCCGCTAGTCTTATTGCTGAGTCTGAGTCTGTCTGTCCTCCGTCCGTCGGGGGTGGGTGTGCTCTTAGCACGGACGTCCTTGAGGACAGGCAGGAGGAGTTCCAGTGTTTTGCTACTGCTTTACCTCATCTCGTCTCCATGCTGCTTGCCCATGAGGGAGACCCGGATGCACCAGACATCCCGACCCCGCGCTCTTACGCAGAGGCGATAGAGGGTCCCTACTCCTCTCAGTGGCAGACAGCCATGGACGCAGAGATGGCTTCCTGGAATTCCACAGGCACCTACGTCGACGAGGTTCCCCGACCTGGGGCGAACATCGTCAGTGGCATGTGGATCTTCAGGGTGAAGCGGCCGCCGGGTTCTCCACCTGTCTTCAAGGCGCGTTACGTGGCTCGAGGCTTCAGTCAGCGGCACGGAGTTGACTACTTCCAGACCTTCTCTCCCACCCCGAAGATGACCACGCTTCGGGTGCTGCTGCACATAGCCGCTCAACGCGACTACGAGCTTCACTCTCTTGACTTCAGCACAGCTTTCCTGCAGGGCAGCCTGCACGAGATCTGGCTGCGCCGCCCACCTGGCTTCACTGGGTCGTTCCCTCTTGGTACCCAGTGGAGCCTCCGGCAGCCAGTCTACGGTCTCCGCCAGGCGCCCCGTGAGTGGCACGACACACTGAGGACTACGCTTGCGGCCCTTGGGTTTGCTCCTTTTACTGCTGACCCGTCGTTGTTTCTACGCACCGACACCTCTTTGCCGCCGTTCTACATCCTCCTGTACGTTGACGACTTGGTCTTTGCAACTGCTGACACTGCTGGACTCGCCCACGTGAAGTCGGAGCTGCAGAAGAGACACACGTGCACGGACCTGGGTGAACTGCGCAGCTATCTTGGCTTGCAGATCACCCGGGATAGAGCGCGGCACACCATTACCCTAACTCAGTCACACATGGTGCAGCAAGTCCTTCAGCGCTTCGACTTCACGTACTCCTCGCCTCAGACCACTCCTCTGTCTACTCGCCACTCGCTCTCAGCTCTGCCTTTGGATGAGTCCGTAGAGCCGAGTGGCCCATACCCAAAGCTTGTTGGCTGCCTCATGTACCTGATGACCTGCACTCGACCTGACCTGGCATACCCTCTTAGCATCTTGGCATGCTATGTTGCTCCTGGGAGACACCAACCAGTGCACATGGCTGCAGCGAAGAGGGTGTTGCGCTACTTGTGCAGTACGTCGGGCATGGGGCTCGTGCTTGGAGGGCGGAGTCTTGTGGTCCCCACTGGTCACGCAGACGTGTCTTGGGTTGACGATTTGGCTACGCAGCGATCGTCACAGGGTTACAACCTTGAGCCTTGGTTCCGGCTCTGTTTTGTGGCGGTCTACCCGTTTGTCTTCTGTTCTCAGCTCCAGCTGTGAGGCTGAGATCTACGCAGGGGCCATGGCTGCGCAGGAGTTACGCTGGCTCACCTACCTGCTGACTGACCTGGGAGAGCTGCCTCGTTCCTCCTCCAGTTCTGTACGTAGACAACAAGGCCATGTTGGCCTTGTGTCGGGAGCACAGACTGGAGCACAGAATGAAGCACATTGCTCTTCACTACTTCCTTGCTCGTGAGGTGCAGCAGCGTGGTCAGCTGCGCCTTGCTTACGTGGCCTCTCAGGCCAACACTGCTGATATTTTTACCAAGGCACTTCAGCCTTGTGATCATCAGCGCTTTTGTACGATGCTAGGTCTTGTGCCTACTTGGCCTCACTTGCTCACTTCTTGACTTTGTTGTAGTGTGATCTATATATACCTGCACTTGCATGCTTATCCTTGCTAGGTTTTTGTCACTGCCTTGCTTGTTCACCTTGAGATATAACTTTGCATGTGAACTGGCCTTGTGGCCATGTCCTTGTGCTCAGATTGTGTGGTGACGTTGTGATCCACCCTGAGCTTGCCTTGCTTTGCTTGAATGGTCTTGTGACCTCTTATTCTCCCCCACTTTGCCTATGAGGGTGTGTCAAACATATATGACATTGTCTGTATAGGCTGTAGTGGGGTAGACTATATGGGGTACGACACTGCTAGGTTTTCCTACTTGTACCCATCTCCTTGCTAGTTCAGTCATTCCTTGTTCTATCATTCTCACATGTCTGACTATTGGCGACGGTAATTTCAACCTCGTTAAAGAGTGCTTCGCGATTGAGGATGAAGACGCTCGACGACACCATGTGTTGGTGGCAGTAGTTGTCCAGGTACCTTATGTTAACCTCCTTCTTCGCCTTGGCGAGGTTTGCGAGCTTTGGTGTGATGTGATGCTCCATGTCGTGTTCCTGTTCGTAGTCGTAGTAACACCCTCCGTCGTCGTATTCGATGCGTGCAGGTTGCGACTCTTGGATTCACTACGGTGCTTCCTAATTGAACTGCATCCGTCCGACTGTCAGCTCGTCGTACGTTGGATCGTTTTCTTCCTCGTCTTCAACCGATCCCTCGAATCGCTCCTCAGATGGTTCTGTGAACATCTCCTCCCAGCTGCGGAAGAAGCGGTAATGTCGGTTTGGGCGAGGCGGTTCGTGACGCACCATGCAAGTTAACACCTTGCTCTTGCCTTTGTCGTTTGCATTCTCAGAAATGCACGCTGGAGCTTGAGACATGCTGGCGACAGCTGGTGGTGACACTGTCTGTTTGCGTGTTGGAGCCCCTCCTTGCTAGTGAGTCGCGGCAACCTTTTGTTTGTTGTTATTGTCAGAACATTATAGCTTATGCTATTGTGTAGGCTATAGTGGGGTATCCCATAAGGGGTACAACCCAATTAGGGTTTCATATTTGTACTCACTTCGTTCATAGTTCATCCATTCTCGTTCTATTCTTCTCATGGTATAGAGCAGGTTCCCCTGTGGGAACTGTGCTTAGGGCCCCACCACTTCGAACTTTTTTTTTCCTGCCGGAGCGCGCTCCGGGCTCTCTCTCTCGATCTGTCGACCTACCCTACGGCTCCTAGACGCCAGCGCGCCGCCCTCAGACGCCCCGCGCGCGCCCCGTCCCGGCCCTTAGCGGCCCCGCGCGCGCAGTCTCGGCCCCTAGACGCCCCGCGCGCCGCCCGTCCAGGCCCACGCGCCCGCGGCGCTCGCCCTTAGCCGCCCAGCGCGCCGCCCGTCAGGCCCCGAGCCGCCGTCGGCCACCCTTAGGCGCCCGTGCTCGGCGCCCGTCCCGGCCCGTCGGCGCCGTGTGCCGCCCGTCCCGGCCTCGCGCCACTGTGCGCCGCCCGTCAGGCCCCACGCCGCCGTCGCGCCGCCCGTTCTGGCCCGTCGACGCCCGTGCGCCGCCCGTCCCGGCCTCACGCCCACCCGTGCGCCGCCCCATCCGGCCGCGCATAGCCGTCCCGGCCCCTCGGCGCCCGTGCGCCGCCCGTCGTGGCCCCTCGCCACCGTCCCGGCCCCAAGCCGCCCGTGCGTCGCTCGTCCCGGCCCCGCTCCCAGCCGCCCGTGCGCCACCCGTCCCAGCCGTGCGCCGCCGTCCTGGCCCCCGCACCGCCCGTGCGCCACCTGTCCCTGCCGCACGCCGCCGTCCCGGCCCCCACGCCGCCCGTACGCCGCCTGTGACACCCAACCGCCCGTGCCACCCGCGTCACCCGAGCCACCCGAGCCGCCTGCGCCGCTGAGGAGCCAAGCCGCACGAGCCGCCTATGCCGCTGAGTGCCCGAGCCGCCCGAGCCGCCCGAGCCGCCTGCGCCGCCCGAGCCGCCCGAGTCGCCTGAGGAGCCGAGCCGCTGGTCCCGCGGAGCTGCTGTTGCTGCTGGGCCGACCGAGCTGCTGTGTTGCCGTGTTGCTGTGCTGCTGAGCTGCCCGACCCGTCCTGTCTGGTGAGACCGTCGACTGCTGTCATGGCTACCCCCAGTGTCCTTGCTTTTGACGCTGAGGGTCGGGCCATTGACTTTGAGGTTTGGGGTCGACGACCTGCAGCTGTTCTTGCAGTGCGATAGGGTAGACGACCTTTCTCTCTTTGACCTTACCTCTGGCGCCGTCCCTGCCCCTGCTGCTGATGCTGACCCCACTGTTCGCTCCAAGTGGGCCACACGCGATGTTGCTTGCACGTCTTGCTGTGCGTCCGCCCCCTGCCTACCGCTGAGCGTGCACACTTTAGTCAGTACAAGAGTGCCCAGACCTTGTACGACGCTGTAGTTGCGCGCTACTCCTCCCCTGCCACTGCTGCACTGAGCCGCCTCATGCTCCCCTTCCTCTTCCCTGACCTTGCCGCCTTTCCCCACTGTCGCTGATCTCATTACGCACCTCCGCACTAGTGGACACCCGCTACCGCGCTGCGCTTCCTGCTGACTTCTGCGCCAAGAACCCCCCCCCCCATGTACATCACTCTCTACTTTCTAGTCACTCGTCTCCCTGGACTCCCTTCGTGTAGTCCGGGACAACTTCTTCGCGGTCTGTCCACCACTCTCACAGTCGACAGCCTCGAGAAGGCCCTCCTAGCGGCGGAGAAGAGCATCGTCGCTGTAGGAGCCTCTCGAGGTAACCCCCACGCCCCCATCTTTGAGGGGTGTTCTCCTTCCCTCTCTTGCCCTCTGTAGCCTCTGCCGCTGCGGCCGACCTCGTTGGTCTTGAGTCGGTCGGTGCGGCGTCTGCCCCCTAGCGGGAGACGCCGCTCTGGCAAGGGCAAGGGGGGCAAGGGGAGCGGGTGGGGCCAGCGCGGGGCGGTGGAGGTGGAGGTGGAGGCGGCGGAGGGAGTGGGGGTGGCGGTGGAGGTGGTGGCGGGGGTGGGGGTGCTAGTGGCGGCAGTGGAGGCGGAGGTGGCGGCGGCGGTGGCGGGTGGGAGCGAAGGTGGCGGAGGCGGTGGCGGTGGAGGAGGAGGCGGGGGTGGCGGTGGTGGAGGGTGGTCGGAGTGGCGCTTCCCAGCGGAGCAGCACTGGAGGTGGTCAGCGCCAGCAGCAGCAGCAAGCAGCAGCGTTCTCGCAACGTCCCCACCCCTCAGCAGCTCCGTGAGTGGTACACGCAGCGTCAGCGGGGTGGGAGTTTTGGTCCTTGCACCTACGTTCTTCGCACTGGCGACCGCGCTGGAGAGCAGTGTGGGGGTACCCACTCCGTGTTGGTGTAAGGGCCTAATAAACTCAAGCTATTAAGACTTTATCAAACTTAAAACCTCTCCTCGGGGTCACCTCCAAGGGTCCTTGGGTGCCTGGTACAAGACCAGCCCCTATCCTCGGGTCCGAGTTTGTAGAGAGAGGGATCAAGAGGGACTAATTCAAAACAGCAAGAGTACCTTGAACGTCGCGCAGTGTATCGTGCAGACCGTCGATCGGATTAAGCTGAGAATTTTCTATATCGAAGCTCACTCTAAGAGCTTTAAAATAAGCCAAGTTGCCTCGCGAAAAGTTCTGCCATTACGAAGTTATGGCTCGGACAGCGTTAGCCTAGCGTTGGAGTGCTAGCGTACTAGCGTTGACTCGGGTAGCATTCCGCCGTCGCACCGCGTAGAAAGGAAATTCCAGCAAGGAAGGAATTCGCTTGAATCAATTTCACTATATTCAGGTACAAACAGAGAAGGAATATATAGTTCTAGCTAGCATGGACCTTGGGAATAAACCTGGGAACAACTAGGGATGATCCCAAATAATTCCAAGCAACAGAACCAACCTGGCTGGACAAAACAGCAGGTAGTAGGTTGGTAAACAACCTCTGGTTCTGTTTTTCCAACCTGGGAAAACAACAACCAGGTTCAGGTCCTAAAAACAGAACCTGTTTTGTCTTTGCCCAACCAGCCAAATGCTGGTTCCGTTGGTTTCCCCTGGCCCTGTAGCATGCAGATACAGACAAACAACATCCAACCTTTACCTAAATTGTACCCCTATAGTGCCTGCCCTGCTACACTATAGTCAACCAAACAAAACAGTACAATTTCGAGTTGGATAGAACTGAATCTGCGCAATCAAGTAAGTTGAACCGCAAAGCTTCCACCTTGGGTTCCTTTGCGAGCTCGTCCTTTCTGCTTGTACTGTTCATAGCGCGTACAATGTTATGCCGAAGCGCACATTGTGCGAGTACCTGCAAATGCTTCAAGCAAAAATTGCGAAAGCAAACAAACACACGAACATACCATTCACACGCAAATGCATTCGCACACGCATACTCGTACAAACAGACCGCAGGATGTCGTGCAATGTGAATTTGCACCCAACACTCCGCCCAGCGCTGCTTTGGCCGCCTGACCGACGCTTGGCGCCAGCAGTTCCCGGAGGCCGCGGAGATCCCCCGCTGGGGAGAGCTGTCTAGGGCTGGTGTAGCTATTTTTGATCTTGACTTTGATGCTATCCTTGCTGCTATGTATGCTGTGACCATTAGTGATGAGGGTGACTGTTACCGGTGTTTCCCGCCCGACCCGGGCATTGAGGCTGCTGCTCTAGGTGCCAGTGCGTCTGTGCTCTCAGGTACTGGTGAGGCTGCTCTCTCAGGTACTAGTGAGTTTGCGCTCTCAGGTACTGCGTCGGCCTCTGCCTCCCACACCTTCACCCTTGACTCTGGAGCGTCTCGCTCCTTCTTTCGGGACCGCACCACACTCACGCCGCTTAGTCAGCCGGTTGCGGTGTCCCTGGCTCACCCCTCTGGGGGTCCTGTCCTGTCTCGCTTCTCCACAGTCCTTCCGTGTCCGGCGGCTCCCTCTGGCACCCTGTCTGGTCTCTACCTCCCCTCGTTCTCTACGAACTTGGTGAGTGGTGCTGACCTACAGGATGCGGGAGTCCACGAGTTCACCCCTGCTCGTCAGCGAGTGACGCACTGCACAGAGGCTAGCACAGGTCGTCACCTAGCTACGTTTACACGTCAGCCAGGGTCGAGCCTGTACACACTGACCACTCCTTCTCCTCCAGTTCCTGAGTCTGGTAGGGTCCCTTCGTCAGGTCAGGTGTTTGCTGCAGCGTCCAGGTCTGGTCCTGAGTCTGCCCCCTGTTCGTGTCGTTGCCTGTCTCACGAGACTCTCCTCTGGCACCACCGCCTGGGTCACCCCTCTCTGCTTCGGCTCAGAGGCATGGCCTCCCGTCTCCTTGTCTCTGGTCTCCCCAGGTCCCTCCCTCCCCTTCCTCAGGGCCCTGGCCCTGCCTGTGTCCCCTGTGTCGAGGGACGCCAGCGTGCTGCCCCTCACTCCTCCCAGTTTCCTCCGACAGAGGCTCCGTTGCAGACGCTTCACATGGACGTGTGGGGCCCTGCCCGCGTCCGTGGACTCGGTCACGAGCGCTACTTCCTGTTGGTGGTTGACGACTACTCGCGTTACACCGCGGTCTTCCCCTTGCGCAGCAAGGGTGATGTCACTGCGGTGCTGATCGACTGGATCCGCGCAGCTCGTCTCCAGCTCAGGCAGAGCTTTGGCTCGGACTTTCCTGTGTTGCGTCTGCACTCGGACAGAGGCGGAGAGTTCTCCTCTGGCCTTCTGCGTGCCTACTGTCGTGCGCGAGGCATCCCTCAGACCTTCACGCTTCCGGACTCACCGCAGCAAAATGGGATTGCAGAGCGCCGCATTGGCATGGTCATGGACGTCGCTCGTACGTCTATGATGCATGCGGCTGCCCCCCATTTTCTGTGGCCGTTTGCGGTCAGGTACGCGGCGCATCAGATCAACCTCCACCCCAGGGTCTCCAGGCCGGAGACCTCCCCAGCCCTGCTGTGGACGGGGAAGGTTGGCGATGCGTCGGCGTTCCGGGTCTGGGGATCTCGGGCGTTTGTCCGCGACTTGTCTGCGGACAAACTGTCCCCTCGCGCTGCTCCCTGCGTCTTCCTGGGGTTCCCCCCGACGCCCCTGGGTGGCAGTTCTACCACCCCACCTCTCGCCGTGTTCTGTCCTCCCAGGACGTCACGTTCGACGAGTCGGTACCCTACTACCGCCTCTTCCCTTACCGCACTCCGTCCCTCCCCCCACCCCCGCTCTTCTTGGTACCAGGTCCCCCCCCGGTAGACCCCCTTCCCCCTCAGGGTCCTGCCCCTTCAGGTGTGTCCCAGGTAGACGCAGTCGAGCCTGTCGAGGTCAATGGTGACTCTGGTGCTGCTGTGGGTGCTGAGCCTAGGGGTGATGTGACTAGGGTGCTGTGCGTGGGGGTGCTGAGCCTGGGGGTACGGAGCCTGGGGGTGCGGAGCCTGGGGGTGCTGAGCCTAGGGGTACTGAGCCTGGGGGTGCTGAGCTTGGGGGTGGTGAGCCTGGGGGTGCTGAGACTGGAGGTGCTACGACTGGAGGTGCTTTGCCTGGGGGTGCTGAGCCTGGAGGTTCTTCGCCTGGAGGTTCTCCGGGTGCTTCGTCTCGCCGAGAGCCACTCTCCCCACAGGAGCTGCGTGAGTGGTTTGCCCGGCGCTGGAGGTGTGCTGCTGGTACTGGAGGTTCTTCGGCCGCTGAGGGTGTTGGCGCTGAGACTGTCACTGGCAGTCCGACTGGCGGTGCTCCTGGTGCTGCAGGGGGTTCTGGGGCTGCTGGAGGTGCTGCTGGGGGTTCCGGAGCTACTAGAGGTGCTGCTGGAGGTGCTGCTGGAGCGGGTACTCGTGCTGGGGGTACTGGTGCTATCCCTGCTGTTTCTGGCGTCGCCACGCGGCCCCGACCGTACTTCGTTCCACTCCTGCAGCAGGTTCTTGGTCTTACACCTTCTTCTGGTCCTCCTCCTTCTCCCTTAGAGGGTCCACAGCCTGTCCAGTCACAGTCTCAGCTAGAGCCTGCCTCCTCTTTGCCTGCTCCTTCTCCCTACGCTGGTCCGACTGGAGGTCTTACTGAGCGTCGTGAGCCTGCGTCTCGTCCTGTGTCACCTGTTCGTGCTGCACGCACTAGTGGTCGCGGTTCGCGCCAGCGTCCTCCTCCTGTCCCTGGCACGCATCGGATATCTCTGTGTCCGTCTACTGCTCCTCTTCGTGCCCCTTTGCCTTCTCCTCCTGCTTCCTCTCTTCCTGCTCTTGCCGACCCGGAGTCGGACTCTCTTCGTGCTGCCAGTCCTACTGTCACGCGTCTCCTTGCTACTGCCGTCACTGACCCTTCTTTCGAGTCTACTGCTGCGTCTGCCCTTGTTACTGAGCTCGTCGACTTTGCTGCTCGCTGTCGTCTAGACTACGCTGCTAGTCTTGTCACTGAGTCTGAGTCTGCTTGTCCTCCGTCCGTCGGGGGTGAGTGTGCCCTTGGCACGGACGTCCTTGAGGACAGGCAGGAGGAGTTCCAGTGTCTGGCCGCCGCTTCACCTCATCTCGTGTCCCTACTGCTCACCCCTGAGGGAGACCCGGATGCACTTGACATCCCGACTCCGCGCTCTTACGCGGAGGCGATAGAGGGTCCCTACTCCTCTCAGTGGCAGGCAGCTATGGATGCAGAGATGGCTTCCTGGAAGTCCACAGGCACCTACGTTGACGCTGTCCCCCCTCCTGGGGTGAACATCGTCAGTGGCATGTGGATCTTCAGGGTGAAGCGGCCGCCGGGTTCTCCGCCTGTCTTCAAGGCGCGTTACGTGGCTCGTGGCTTCAGTCAGCGGCAGGGGGTTGACTACTTTCAGACCTTCTCCCCCACCCCGAAGATGACCACTCTTCGGGTACTGCTGCACGTTGCTGCTCACCGTGACTACGAGCTGCACTCTCTCGACTTCAGCACAGCTTTCTTGCAGGGCAGCCTGCACGAGGAGATCTGGCTGCGCCGCCCACCTGGCTTCACTGGGTCTTTCCCTCCTGGTACCCAGTGGAGTCTCCGGCGTCCAGTCTACGGTCTCCGCCAGGCGCCGCGTGAGTGGCACGACACACTGAGGACTACGCTGGCGGCACTTGGGTTTACTCCTTCCACTGCAGACCCGTCGCTGTTTCTGCGCACCGACACCTCTCTGCCGCCGTTCTACATCCTCGTGTACGTCGACGACTTGGTCTTTGCCACAGCTGACACTGCTGGACTCGCCTACGTGAAGTCCGAGCTGCAGAAGAGACACACGTGTACTGACCTGGGTGAACTGCGCAGCTACCTTGGCTTGCAGATCACCCGGGACAGAGCACGCCGCACCATTACCCTGACTCAGTCACACATGGTGCAGCAGGTCCTTCAGCGCTTCGGCTTCACGTACTCCTCGCCTCAGGCCACTCCTCTGCCTACTCGCCACTCGCTCTCA